GAGCTCCGCTGACGTCAGCAGCGGCCCGCGCAGCCTCGCTCGCGGCTCTGACGTCAGCGCCCCGCCCCCGTGCTCCGGCCGCGCTGCTGGCCTCGGGTCCCTGCTGGCTGCCCTCGGACGAGGAGGGCGCTGGCCACTGCGCCCCAGAGCCAGGGTTACGCTGGGATTCTGCGGAGACCCATCGGTTTGACCCCGCACTGCCACCCTGTCCGGTCTGAACCGCCCAGCCCCCTCTTGGCCCTATGGGCTGCCTTGTCCACACACAGCCGACGGGAGTGGGAGAAACCTGTCCTCTCCCACCGGGAACACTGACCGGCTTCCCGCTCTCAGCCTTAACCTTGGTCCTTCCCCAGGGCCTTTGCACGTGCCACTCCTGCTTGCAGCCCCATGTCCCTTCTCTATGATTGAGAGCAGTGCAACCTCTCCCGTGTGCCCAGACCCCTGCCAAGCCTAGAAACGCCGTGGGTCCCAGTGATGTCAAAACAGCCCAAGTAAAAATGCACTTTGCAATGCCCCGAGGGACACCACGCCGGAGCGCAGGCCGCTTGGGGTGGGATTTCGACCTTTGGGGAAGAATTGGGGCGGTGAAGAGGAGGGAGGGGAGCCAGCCCTGCATCAGAGAAGAGCCAGGAGGCAAAGGCTCAGTCCAGCACCTGCAGAGACCGCTGCTGCCTGGCGCAGGGGGCGCTGAGGAGTGGGGAGGGCAGGCAGAGCAGGTGGGCGGGAAGCGGTGGGGACCTCGCCTTCCCTCGGTGGGACTGGGGGCTGCCGTGGGCTATACCGCCCAGGCTCAGGCACGCTGGCCGCTAGGTGAGGCTCTCGAAGGACAGGGCGAGGGGCTGGAGCGGACAGAGGAGGCGGCCGCCCTGTGGGAAAAGGAACATTGGATCCCAGGTCTGAGCAGCTCTGCTGGGCTCCGCGGATTCCCGTCCCGAGGGAACAGGATGGGTTTCTCTCTGTATCTTGCCAGGTGTGGGAGGACCTGCATGGGGAGGCGATATGGAGAAGACTCCCCGATCCCGGTGCCTTAGGGCTGTACACTCTGGGGACCCCCCAGGCTGGGACGCTGTGCGCTCCAGGGTGCCCAGGGCGAGGATGTAACGTTCCTTAGGACCCCCAGGGCAGGAGTGCTGGGGGAGATACGAGTAGAGGAGGTGCGCCCCCAATTTGGGGCATGGATAGGCGGCTCTGCTTGGGGAGGGGGCGCTGGGAGTGTAGGCTCCGCCTCCCGCCCCCGCCGGAAGGGAAGGGGAGGCGGTGGCCGGTTCGGAGCGGGCTAGACGCGGCGGCAGAGCGCGGCGGGGGCGGCCCGCTGGGACCGAGCGGCCGCAAGTGGCCCCAAGCGGGGCCCACCGGGTCGGGCGCGCCGCCAACGCGGTCACGTGCGCGCCCCTCCTGCTGCTCCTGGGCGCGGTGGGCCGCGCGCGCTCCATTCATAAATCCGCGCCTCTCCGCGCCGCCGGGCCGAGCGAGCCAGATCCGCCGCCGCCGCCGCCCATGGGCCGCGCGCCCCGGCATTGAGGTAGGAGCGGCCGCCGAGGGCCGGGCACCGGGGGTCGGGTCCTCAGGCCACGGGACTCCGCGCCCTGCCCATCCGTCCACTAGAGGGGGACCCCCGCCCACGCCCTGCCCCGGCGCGGTCTCCCCCAGCATGGGCGAGCGCGCGATGGTGTCTGCCTCTGGGGAGATGGGCCTGGGACCGGGGTCTCTGCCGCCTGGCACCCCCCCCTTGCTCGCGACCTCCGGGCTCGGCCCTCCAGGGCGCAGGGTAGGACCCCAGCTCGCTCGCGGGGTCCGAGGTGGCCCTGCCGGGACCGCCCCCGAGTTCGTGCCTTCCCGTCAAGCGCCCTCTTTCAGCCGGCCTCCTGTCGTCGTCCCTGCGCCTCGGCCCCCGGCTTGAACTCATTTTCCGACCTACATCTGCGCCGGAGGTGCGGAGGATTCCCGGCTAGCCGGGACCCTCCCCTTCCCCCGGCCTCAGTTTCCCCCGCTGTCCGCTGAGAAGTCGACCCGACAGGGCTCGTCTCCAGGCTTCTGTAAGGGACCCTGCGGTCCCACGGACTCGGGATGGCTGGTCATTCCGGAGGTCCCGGGGCGCAGGGCCTGGCGGCCAGCGGCGGGGTGGGTCCGCGGGAGGCGGCCGCAGCCATCTTGCCCGCGCACTCCGCAGCGGCCCCTGAAGGGCCTCCCCTGGCTGCTCCCCTCTTCCCCCCACATGTGCTCCCTGGCAACCCTCCCGCCCCCCTCGGCCTGCGCCGTCGCCATGGGAACCGGATTCTTCAGGCGGGAGCAGATGCGCACCGCGGGTCCTCTCCACTCCCACTGGCGTGCCGCGGAGGGGGACCCTCGGCACCCCAGCGTCACCCCACCCTGCACCGTGGGCGGACCCCCGGAACGCTACCTCCCTCACCGAGTGACCAAGTCCATGCTTATGGCAGGGGCGGCCTCTCCTCTCCAGTGGAAGGGGCATGGAGACCAGGGGTCTTCCTTGAGCCAGATGACTGGCCTCAGTTTCCCCGTTCCTCAGTGGGGTTCTGCCTCCAACCGGGAACGACCCCTGGGGCTGAGAGGAGAGACAGAGGCGCTGCTGCTGGCCGGCCTGCTGGCCGACCTGTCCACCTGCAGGGCCTGCCGCAGCCCGGTCCCTGCAGACGCTCTCCCTGCTGTATGGGATCGCCGTGGGCGCGCAGGGGGGACTCATTGTCAGCGTTCCTGGGGGCTGGGCGGGTAGAGACCTGAGCGCTGAGCGGGCCCTTCTCCCTCCCAGGCCCCTCCTGACGGCTCCACCATGCAGCCCACAGCCACCATGGCCACAGCGGCTGCTGCCTCCACGGTGGCGCTGACCACGTCGTGGGACAACGCCACCGGCCGGCCCACGGTCAGTGGGGGGGCGGGCGGTGGAGGGGAGGAAGACCGCGGCCTGAGAATCCAGGGTCCTGACGGTGTGTCCCACAGGCGGAACCTGACCCCCTTCTGGACAACTACGTGCTGCTGGTGGTGGTCGTGTCCCTTCTGGTGGGGGGCACTCTGGTCGTGCTCTCAGGGGTGCTACTGCTCTGCAGGCGCTGCTGGGAGGTGCACCGGAGGGTCCACAGGTGAGGGGGGCGCAGGTGAGGGCAGGGGGGGCGCAGGTGAGGGCGGGGGGGGGCTGGTGAGGGCAGGGGGCGCTGGGGAGGAGGGGGGGCGCTGGTGAGGGTCAGAGGTAATATGTCCAAAGGGATGGGGGCACGTGAAGATTCGAGGGGTGTCCCTACCTGTGTATTAGCTGAAGAAGGTGTGTATGTACACATGTGGGTATGAGAGTACACGTGGGCACTTGTGGAGGTCTGTATACAAGCAGTATGAGTGCACGTGTGTGTGTTTATAGGATGTGTACGTACGTGTAAGTGTGCACACATGTGGGCAGGCTCATGTGCAAACATACACCAGTGCACACCTGTTAGACCGTGTAGGGACAGCTCCTGCTTCGAGGAGTACCGTGTTGTAGGCAGGCCTCCAGGTGTGAGCCACTCGCCTGCTGGGGGCATGTGTGGGGTGCCAGCCACAAGGCTCTGGTCTGAGCCCTCCCACCCCCACAGAGCCATGGACGAAGCTGAGAAGGCCACCAGCAGCTACCTGGACAACGGTGCCCATCCGGCCCCAGGTGAGGCGTCCAGTGGGCCCTGGCCCCCGGCCCCGCTCCCTCCCTGCCTGCCCTGAGCCGCCTGACCGCTGTGTCTGTCTGTCTCCCCACCAGACTGGGCGCCACTCGATTCCGACTCATCTCTGTTTCCTTAAAGCCCACCGCATAGGTGCGTGCGGAGCATGTGTGAGAGCGGCTGAGCGAGTGTCCGCCCCCGTCCATCCGTCCCTGCCTGCCTGCCCCTGACCAGGCGCAGCCCACCCCTCTCTGGCTCTCCTTCCCAGACCCCGACTTGCGGGGTGAGGACCCCGAGGGCCAGGATGCAGAGACTGAACGCTTCCTGTCCACTACTGCCACTGGCCGCCGTGTCTCCTTCAACGAGGCGGCCCTGTTTGAGCAGAGCAGGAAGGCTCAGGACAAGGGCCGACGGTAAGTGGGCACGGCACAGGCTTGGGCATGAGGGCTGTGGGCCCAGGGCCTGGGAGCCGGGGCATGGAGGGCGGAGCACGGCATTCCAAGCTGCCCCTGGCTGACCTGCGAAGGTACACCTTGACGGAGGGCGACTTCCACCACCTGAAGAACGCTCGGCTCACCCACCTGCACCTGCCGCCACTCAGGATTGTCACCATCCACGAGTGTGACGCAGGCGAGGCCAGCGCGGCCCCTGCGCCCCACCCGGCCAGCGCCCCCAAGGCGACCCTCGCCATCTTCCAGGTGAGTCTGCCTTTGGACAGCAGCTGGGGACCAGTGTGGGTGGGGGCTGGCAGCCTCCAGGTGTGGTGCCCTCTGCCCTCTCTGGGGGGGTCAGGCCAGGATGGCCAGTGTCCTGTGCCCTTTGACCTGTCACTACTCCCCCACGGCTCTGTCCCACAGCCCCCGGGGAAGGCCCTCACCGGCCGCTCTGTGGGCCCCAGCTCCGCCCTGCCAGGTGACCCCTACAACTCTGCCATGGGCGATGTGGACTTTGTGGAGATCAGCCCGTCAGTGTCCAGCGACTCCGGGGAGGGCACCTCGGTAAGGGGCTCCCACCTACGGGTCTGAGAGGGGGCCAAGGGGCTTAGGGGAAGCTCTGCCACCCTGCTCCTGCTTGAGACAAAGGTCAGTGGCCCCTGACCTCTAGGTCCTGGCCCCAGCTCATCTGTTGGTGTCAGGGTCCTGAGCCCATAGAGGTGGGGCCAGGGCTGCTGGAGCCCTGCCTGGGAAGGGTGCCTAGACCCCTCTTCCAGAGCTACGTGGTCCTCTGTTCCCCAGCCCAGGGTCCTTCCCAGCGGAGGCTGAGAGGATTAGTTTGGCCTGAGTGCCCCTTCCTGGATCTGAGGGACCGGCAGGTGTACCCGCTTGAGGGCGTCGCTCACAGCCCAGTTTCTCTTCCCCAGCTGGATGCAGGTGCTCGGAGCGCCAAGGCCAGTGGGCCAGGGGCCACAGCAGGGCCTGCCGAGGCAGGTTCTGGTTCGGTCCTGCAGTTCCTCACTCGTCTGAGGCGCCACGCCAGCCTGGACGGGGCCAGCCCCTACTTCAAGGTGAAGAAATGGAAGCTGGAGGCCAACCAGCGGGCGTGCAGCCTGGACACAAGAGGTGGTTTGAGGGCACTGGGAGGTGTGGGGTGCTGTGAGGTCACGGGAGATCGTGGGGAGGGGCATGCCGGCACGGCGGGGTGGGTGGGTACTGGTCAGGACGGCATAGTGCTGGGCTTGCTCCCCTCAGGCCACTGTCAGGGGGCCGGGGTCCCAGCAGCCTTAACAGGGACGACAGTGGGCCTCAGCGGGTGGGGCCTGAGGCCCAGATCCCTCCAGGGCTCTATGTTGGCCTGTCTCCACACATGAGACCCCTGCCCTAATGTTGCAGTCAGATCTTCAGGTGCCCGCATCCTAGTTGGCCTGAGGGCATCCAGATGGCCTAGGCCAAGGGACATGACCCATGCGGACCTCAATGTTCCTTGGCCCCAAGGATGGCCAGGCTGGAGTGGGTCTCTGCAAACGCTTCCAAAGGGCAGATGAGCGGTACTTGTGGGTCTGTGCTCAGATGGTCATGTTTGGCCTCTTGCTGGTCACCCACAGCCGCAGATGGTGTTAATGAGTGGCCGTGCTTTGTGCTGATAAGACTCGCTTTATGAACGGGAGCGTTGGGCTGGTTTGGCCCAGGCCTGGATGGAGGCCCCAGCAGCCGTGATAGAGCCCTTCAATTCTCTCAACAGAGCAGGCGCTGAGGGGGTGTGGCTAGCACAGACCACCTGTGGCCCCGTCTCTGGGGTGTCATCAGGTGCCCAGTAGGAGGCCACGCTGAGGCGTGGGACCGAGAGGGGACTAGTCTCTTTGCTGCTTGTCAGGCCGCTGGCTCCCTGCTAGTGCCTAGGGGACTCCCACTCCTGGGATACATGTGGGGGGACCTGATGCTCCTCTGGACTGAGCCTCCCATGGAGCCTGAGAAGCCAGTCAAGTCGAGGGCACTCACAGACGTGCCCAGAACCTGTTTGCTGGGTGACCCTCCCGCCCTCCAGGCCTTCCCACGGAAGTTTCTGAGGCCTCCCTGGCGTGGGAGGGCCTGGCTCTGGGCCAGAGACTGTTGGATAGGGCTGGGCAGTCCGCACCCCCTGATGCCTTTCTCAGGGTTCTTCTGTGTCTGTTCCTTCACCTAGTTAAGTACCTGTTCAGTAACTGAAAGGTTGGTGGTTTAAACCACATCATGATTCCACAGGGAAAAACCACCTAGGGTTATTTCTCACAGGGACGAAGAGAACACCGTGCCCCACCACTGATGCCCTCTCCCAGCACCTCCATGCACGGGTGGAAGGGCCTGTGACTTCCAACACTGTCAGCCTGGAAGCAAGCTGCCCGCCTCTTCTCCCAGTGCCTGTGGGGTTCACATCCCTGGTTCTTTGTAGGGTTTCTGAGCCCAGGCTGTGTTCGACTCGATGGCCCCCAACAAGCACCCTTTGTGGGGAGGGGTGCTGATGGTGTTGTCCTCCACGCAGGTTCACCCAAGAGACACCACTTCCAGCGGCAGCGGGCAGCCAGCGAGAGCATGGAGCAGGAGGGGGCTACCCCACACGCGGACAACATCCAGTCCATCGCCAGGGCTGGTGATGCTGTGGCCTTCCCATCCCCCCGCCCCTTCCTGGCCAGCCCCACCAGCCCGCCCCCCGCTCTCGGCAGGTATTTTTCAGTAGATAAGAGGCGCTAGGGACGGACCTGGGGGACCCTGCCCAGCCCCATCTCCCCCCGACAGTCCTTCCCAGAGGCGGACTTGCTGGGTCCAGCTGTCCAACGTGGACCGGAGGAGGGAAGCAGGGAGACCTGGTAAGGGTGGAAGGCCGGGGCAGGACCCCTGGAAAAGACAGCTACCTAGGCTGGTCCACCATGGCTGTGTATGTACTGGTGCTCCCCCCCCAGAACAGCAGATGGGGGGACCTGGGGGAGGTCCCACCTCCACGTGGGTCCCAGGCAGAGCTGTCGTTCTCCAAGTGGAACCGGGTGGCAGGCTCCCAGGCCTTGGCCCCACTGGCCCGAGTGTGCCGGGCGGTGAGGGTGACCAGGTCCAGGCAGGCCGCCCTGTATCACAGGAGTTGTCCCCCCCGCTCTGCAGCTGCACCATTCACCCTTCCCTCTGGGCCTCCTGGTTCTGTGGGTCCCCGACTGGGTGGCTTTGCCAGCCCTGCCAGCCCCCCATCCCGCCCAGCTCCACTGCAGCTGAGGCCTTGGTCTGTTTGTGCTGGGTCCTGGGTGAGCGGCTTCTCTCATCCTTGGCCAGCCAGGAGGAACGCTGGGTGAAGAGCAGGGACCCACACCCATCTTAGGCCTGACCCAGACAGGGTCGTTCCCAAGATGACCCTACACAAGTTCCTTTCGTGCAGGGCTTGGCGGAGTTCCAAGGTGCCCCCTGCCTCCCCTCCCTGACCCAGAAGCGGGGGGGCTGGGGCGGGGCGGGGCAGGCCCCTTGGCCTGTTGCTGACAGCTTCAGTATGCTTGCAGGCTAGAGGCCGCCGAGGAGCAGGGCGCCGCGGGAGGAGCCAGCCCCGAGTCCCCCCCGGAGCCCCCCGAGCAGCCGCAGGATTCGGACGGTGAGCGGGACACGGGGCCTGAGCAGGCCGTCTACAACGACATCTGGAGCCTGCGCGCGTCCCTTGAGCTGCACGCGGCCGCCTCGGACCACAGCAGCAGCGGCAACGACCGCGACTCGGTGCGCAGCGGCGACAGCTCGGGCTCGGGAGGCCCGCCGCCCGCTTTCCCGC